AAGGTTAACAGCCCAAATTAATAGAAGGACTAACGGAGTGCATTTCGTATAGTTGAGGGATCAAAAAAGTGCAAAAAATTGTTGAGGGACCAAAAATGTTCATTTCTTAAAGTTAAGGGACCAAATTAAGCATTTAACCTATTTAATTTGATAATAAGTAAAATTACATGAGGTAATCCTTATAATTTATGTGAATAAAAATACTCATAATTTAAAATATTTAAAATTTTTTAACAATTACTGAGAGGAAATAATTTTTTGTACTTTGGGGCCAGTTTTGTAGGTGGCAGCTGTCTGATGTGAAGAGGTTTTGTTGATTTTTAGGGGTAATTTTGTAATTTAATTCAAATGACTTTTAGATTTTTTTTTTTTTCACTAAACGGGCAAAGGAGAGGACATTTTGTCCTTGAGGGGTAGAAATCAAAGAAGTAAATACCGTTTTGTATTGGTCAGTATGATCAGTACGTATCGGTTTTTAGAGTAGACCAAAATGAAATAAAAATGAATTTTGTTTCGGTCAAAATTTGATGATTTTGGTCAAATTTCGATGTATCAACCGAAATTTTGACATATAGGCCGGTACACCAAAATTTAACCAATACAATATGCAAGAATTAAAAAAAAAAAAAAGATTTCTTAGCCAAAACGACGTCGTTTTGGCCAACCATGCAATTTTGATCATGCAAATCCTCCTCTGTTCTCGCGTCCAGCTGTCTTATCTTCCATTTTTTCAGTTGCCTGCTACAATTCAAATCAATTCAAATTTCAAAAGGGCAAATTTCATTTTTAGTCCTCAATTTTGATATTTTATATAATTTTCATCTTTTAATTTTTTTATATACTTTTTAAATCCATTCTCCATATTTTTTTTAGTCATTCTATTAATTATTCCATTAAATTTTTTTAAATACACACATTTTTAATCCTTTAATTTAAAATGGATGGACAAAAAATATGTATATATTAAAAGTTAAGGGATTAAAAATTATCATTTTAAATTTGTTTTTAATTTATAAAAATATAATAGTTTTAAATATTAATATCTCTTATTTTATTTTAATATTTAATATTTAATTTATAAAAATATATATTTATAACGATAAATCCGAAACGGTACATGAAAAATTCTGGTATCCGGTATGTACCGTTTCAGTAACAAAACCAGTATGCATGCTGGTACAGTATTGACTACTTTGGTAGAAATCCCACCCCACCTTTTTTTATTTTTTTTATTTTTTAATTGCTGAATTTGGGCATTTTGGTTTGGGACTTCTACACTTTAAAATGCAGAAAATCTCCAACCAACCAGCTAACTTAAGGGGAAGAGAGAAGAAAATCTAGCCTAGAGAAGCTCTGAAGAGCAAGAAAAAACAGGGGAGGAGGCCGGTTGACAGATAAGGAAGACTTGTGAGAGGAAGAAGCGTTCAGGGAGTGAAGGAATGCCAGAGAGTGGGTAAGTAAGCGGTGTTCTTTCTTCTACAATTTTTTTTCTCATCACTCTTTTTGTTTGATTTGTCGAGAGGTTTCTTTAATAGTTTTTTTTTGGTATGTCGTAGGAAACAGGAGAAGATTCAATTAGTTTTGCATTCTATTTTTTCATGTTTCATGGTTTTTTTTTTTTTTTTAACAATATGAAATTTTTTTTTTTTTTTTTTTTTTTGCTAAATGGGCACAGGATAGGACATTTGTCCTTGAGGAGTAGAAAGAATTTTTTTTTCTTGCTGAATTTGGGCATTTTCGGACTTCTATACTTTAAAATGCCCGAAAATCTCCAACCAACCAGTTAACTTAAGGGGAAGAGGGAAGAAAATCTAGCCTAGAGAAGCTCTGAAGGGCAAGAGAAAAGAAGGAGAGGAGGCCGGTTGAAAAAACGGAAGACTTGTGAGAGGGAGAAGTGTTCAGAGAGTGAAGGAATGCCAAAGAGAGGGTAAGTAAGCAGTGTTCTCTCTTCTACAATCTTTTTTCTCATCTCTCTTTTTCTTTGATTTGTTGAGAGGTTTTTTTAAAAGTTTTTTTTTGTATGTTCTGGGAAACAAAATAGAAGATTCAGTTAGTTTTGCATTCTATGTACCAAAAAAAAAAAAAAAAAAAGTTTTGCATTCTATTTTGGTAAAATCATATGTCAAGTTTTTGAATTAATTTTAGATTTGTTATTAAGTCTCAAACTTTAATTGATGCATATAAATCCTTAACTTTGTGGTTTGGGCAATTTAATAATTATTTTTACAGTAATTTAGTCCTTGTTCACTTAAAGAACTAAGGACTAAATTGCTAAGATAATGGAATCTAGGTATTTATATGCATCATTTAAAATTTAAGAGTTTAATAACAAATCTGAAGTTAGTTTAGAACTTAACATATGGTTTTGTCTTCCATTTTTTAATCGCTGTTACTAAGTGTTGGTACTAATCTGCTTTAAAACCCCAGGCAAAGTGGTTACTGAGTAGGCAATCAATAAAAAATTTCCAGCATCCTAACCTAACATCCACCAACACTTTTAATTAGAATAAATGTGCAAGAAGGCAGTAAGTTTCAATTTTAAACATTATCAAGTTGTGCCTTGTTTACTCAATTGAACCATTCCCTTTTTCTCTCTGTGTTTGCTTTTCGTTTTTTCCTTTTTTTTTTTTTTTTGGTAGGAACTCTCAGTGTTCTCTACTAAAGAGAAAAATGGAGGTAGCTCTGAATTTACAATTCTCCATCATTCTTAACATTCTCATCATCTGCACGACTCACCTAGGCCACGGCTTTCAAACTCCTCCCACAAATGAAACCGACATACTTGCATTGTTGGCCTTCAAGGATCACATAGAGGAAGATCCACGAGGAGTTTTGAGTTCTTGGAATAAGTCTCTCCATTTTTGCAATTGGAGAGGGGTTTTATGTAGCCAAAGACACCAAGGAAGAGTCATTGTCTTGGATTTTGGCGGGCAGAAGTTGGTTGGTTCAATTCCTCCTCATATTGGGAATCTATCATTTCTCAGGCAAATGAACCTAAGCGACAACAACTTCAAAGGTGACATTCCGAAAGAGATTGGCCGGTTATTTCGACTGATATATCTCGATGTGAGCAACAATGTCTTACGAGGGCAAATTCCTAGCAATTTGGTATTCTGCTCAAAGATGCGAATCATTGATTTCGCGCTTAATAACCTTGTAGGCGAAATCCCTATGGAATTTAGAAACCTATCAAAAAGTCTTCAATTTTTTCAAGTCTATGCCAATCAGTTAACAGGAAGTATACCACAATGGTTGGGCAATGCATCATCACTTATTGTATTATCCTTGGGAGAAAATCATTTTCATGGTAGCATTCCTACTGAGCTTGGAAGACTAGGAAAATTGAAGCACTTGCAACTTGTTGATAGCAACTTGTTTGGAAGTTTTCCACTTCCTATACTCAATCTTTCGTCACTCAATTATCTATCAATTGCTGTGAATCAGTTTTATGGTAAAATCCCATTCAATATTGGCTTTACAAATCCTAATCTCAAATTTCTTGCAATTGGCATGAACTATTTTTATGGGGAGATACCAACTTCCCTACTTAATATGTCAAAGCTAATAGCGGTAAACTTACCATACAACAATTTGAGTGGAGTCATACCTTCAAACTTGGGAAGCCTAAGGAATCTTCAACACCTAGGGTTTGCCTTCAATCAATTGGAAGCTCCTAAAAATGAAGGCTTGGGTTTCCTAACTTCTTTAACCAATTGCAGCAGTCTCAAAGTGTTGGATTTTGGCGGCAACAATTTCAGAGGCGAATTGCCTACTTCAATTGCTAATCTTTCAACAAAGCTTGAGCATTTGTGGATGGGTAAAAATCAGATTTCAGGTAAAATTTCTAAGGAGATTGGGAACTTGGTCAGCTTAACCACGCTGCATATGAGCATGAACTATATTACAGGTGAAATTCCTTTGAGTATTGGCCGACTAGACAAGTTATCTGAACTTTATCTATATGGAAATAGGATTTCAGGTCTTATCCCATCCGTACTTGGGAATATCACCCAGTTGCAAGAATTGGGTTTGTATGACAATAATTTGAGTGGCATAATTCCTCCTAGTTTGGGGAATTGTTCCCAACTTGAAAATGTTCTTCTTCACAACAATTACCTCTTTGGAATCATACCAAAACAACTCTTGAGCTTATCTTCAATGATTAGCCTCTCCATGTCAAGGAACTTGTTCATGGGAGAGTTGCCTTTAGATGTGGGTAACATGACCCAGCTATGGGGTCTTTCTGTTTCACAAAATAGACTGTCAGGAGAAATTCCAAGCACCCTAGGAAAATGTTTGATGTTGGAATCCCTTTTTATGCAAGAGAACTTCTTTGAAGGAAGTATTCCACCTTCATTTAGTACTTTGAAAAACCTTATAGAGCTTGATCTCTCTAGAAACAATTTGTCCGACCAAATTCCAAAATATCTCCAAAATTTCACTCTGTTGCAAAACCTAAACTTGTCCTTCAATAACTTTGAAGGGGAGGTGCCAACTGAAGGGATCTTTAGAAATGCAAGCATTATTTCAATTAATGGAAATCAAAGGCTCTGTGGAGGTATTCAACAATTAAGACTTCCTCCATGTCAAGGCATGAAAAAGAAAGGGAAGTTTCAACATTTGAAAGTGGTGATTTCAATAATTGTTTCATGCTCATTATTCTTGATTGTAGTTCTTCTAGCTATTTTTTCATACAAAAAGAAATCTAAAAGGACAGCTTCTACCACTGTGCAAGAGAAAGAATTTTTTCCACAAATTTCTTATGCAGAGCTAAGTCAGGCAATCAATGAGTTCTCACCATCAAATTTGGTAGGCAAAGGAAGTTTTGGCTCTGTTTATAAAGGAATTCTAGCTGCAAATAGAATGATAGTTGCAGTGAAGGTGCTAAATCTTAAACAGAAAGGGGCTGCCAAGAGTTTCTTAGCTGAATGTGAAGCATTGAGCAACATTCGACATCGAAATTTAATAAAAATCATAACTGTTTGTTCGAGTATAGATTTTAAAGGAAATGATTTCAAAGCTATCATTTATGAGTTCATGCAGAATGGAAGTTTAGAAGAGTGGTTGCATCCGCATGAAAATCAAGGAGTGGGAGAATTCAACTTCATCCAGAGACTGAACATAGCCATTGATGTTGCATTTGCACTTGAATATCTCCACCACTATTGCCAACCAGCTATAGTTCATGGAGATCTTAAGCCAAGCAATGTTCTACTTGATCATGACATGGTTGCACATGTGGGTGACTTTGGGATGTCAAGAATATTTCGAAACGAGAGCAGTCATAGCAATGCTTCCAGAGAACAAAATAGCTCCATTGGAATAAAAGGAACAATTGGTTATATTCCCCCAGGTAAATATTTCTTAGTTGTATTAATAAATTCTTCACTATTAATTCTCTACTATATTGGATTTACCCTTGTGCGGTGACGTATACCTATTAACCCAATGAACAAACAAAATGCAGAATATGGCATGGGTAGCGAGGCATCTATGGAAGGAGATGTGTATAGTTTTGGAATTATGTTGTTGGAAATGATTACAGGAAAGCGACCAACTGATCCTATGTTCAACGATGGTTTCAACATTCAACAATTCACCAAAACTGCATTGCCAGAGAGAGTGATGGAGATTCTTGAACCCTCTTTATTACAAGAAGTACATGTGACAGATAATAGAGGTATTGAACATTCCAGGGCAAGGAACAACATGGGAAGGAGAATGGGTGTTTTGGAAAGCTTGTCGGAAGTTACAAGAGTGGGAGTCTTCTGCTCAATGGAATCTCCAAATGACAGAATGGAGATGAAACAAGTTGTTGCGGAACTATCTGCCATTAAAAACAGGTTTTTTGGAGCGAGGAATTGATACAACGTCCGTTGACATGGCTCTTGTTTGTCTTCTGCTTTTTGTTTCCCTTTTTGTTTTTTAATTGAAATAAACCCCAGCCCATTTCTTAATAGGGCCTGGACCTTTTTTATACACCGTTATGCTATTGCTAGCTTTATGGGCTTTTCTGATTAGTATATCAATATATAGAACATTATACATGAAGGAATCTCATATTCTTCTCTAATATAAAAGGGGATGTAAATTTTCAAGTCTACCTGCATTTAAAAAAAAAAAGTGCAGGAATATTTATCACAAAATATTATAAATGAGTCAATATGAATGAGTGATTCATTAAAAGTATTTAAATATTTCACAAGCATTCCTGCTCTCTTTTTTTAGATCAACCTAAAAAACATTTTTATATGGTATCTAAAAATCCTTATTAAGGCAAATAAAATAATTGTTATACTAGTGACACACCTGCTATCAGACATCTTAATTTCATGACTAAAAATGTTCTCTTCCCTTCCCTCCATTCAATTTTTCTTTAACAAAACAAGCCTTTAGTATCAGTTAAAAATATTTTTTTGTTAGTTTCAGGCCTGTCGAAAAGGCCATTTAGGATTAAAAATTTTTACTACCTTTTCAGATTTTTATTTACAGATATAGATATAAAAAAAAATGTGGTCATGTGGAAGAAAAAATCTCTTAACAGTACGAGTAGTGATAAAATTAGAACATAGCATTTTATATCTTTATATAAAAACAAAAAGTAAATAATGATTAAATTTGGATAGCTTTATTTAGTATTCTTTATGTAAAAAATAAAAAATTTATATTTTAAAACAAAAAAAAAAAAGTACTAAACACAACGACTAAACCAATAGTTGAATTTATAAACTTATGGACCAAAGTCCACTCTTGGCCTCTCTTCCTATGCATATCTTTTGTCCCTAAAGAATAGAGAAGGATAAATGTTGGAGAATCAATGCAATAGCCAATAATTGAGGGATATCCACGAACCAAGGCGACGACCTCCACATTTTTATAACTACCTCCATTTACTTTGAAGTTGAAGCTATGCTTTCCCTTACATGGAAATTGGGGAAACTGGTTTGTTTCCACAGATTCCAACATCAAATCCTGCCTTGATGCCCCCACTGCTAAAATGGCAACCTAAACCTTCTGCCTCAAAAAGGATCGGCCCGGAGGGTCTGCGACGGTTGACCCAATTGGAAAATTTTAAATGCTTCAATATTGTTACTTGATATATTCGAGTCTCACTGGTGATTAAACTTAATTAAGGTATGCTCTTAAAATGAAATAGCTTGTGCTTTTTAATGTATTTAGGAATCTGAGCTATGGCACTTTGGTATAATAGGAAAAGAACAGTAGTGAGAACTTATATGCTTGATTTGGTGCAAATGTAAGACATGTGTATGGGTTTGACTATTTTTGTACATGTTAAGAAATTTTTAATTTTAACTTTATATATATATATATATATATATATTCGAGTCTCACTGACAATAATATGTGAATAGGCTAAATTCCATTGAAAACCAATGGCATGCCCTTTTCTTGGACTAAAATAAACTCCCCTCACCCAAAACTTTCATGTACAAAGAAAAAATCAAAAGGGCTGGGACATAGAAAATCAACAGAGAAACAGGGT